AATCTTCCAAAACTTGAGAGGAAGGTTGAATGAGATCAAGTATAGACATAATTGATTGTACTCGAACTGATCCAACAAACGGTTCTACAATACTCTACGGTTCTACGGTTTTACAAAAAAACGTTCTTTAATAAGATAATTGTAACAGTTGTTTTCACACCGAATTGACAACAATAACAACAAAAATGGCGTCTGTCAAATTGGATCATCAGATCTGTGATTGGATATTAAAAACCAATACACTTGGCAACTCAGTTCTAGACACGATTAATTTTATTGGTCCCAAGGACCGATTAGGCTTGATAAGTATAATATACCCCTAACTCGATCAGTCTATAAGCAAACCAGTATCATTTTCCATAGCATGAAACAAGTCCATTATAAAACCACTCAAAATAAGTTCCATTTTCCGAAATAGATTACTTTTCATTATGTAATTTAACGATATGACTCTCATTTGGGATATCCTTCACGAATTAATTTTATTTTCAAATATTCCTGATGTGTCATAGAAAAAGTATAGTAATCCAACTCCATTCCCATGAATAAAAGCCATATTTCTAGACTCAGTTGACTCAATTGAAATTATTCAATAGAAGATAATATTGAGTTTAACAGCCTATCAATGTTACATGTATAACAAAACCACTCCACATACTGTTAGATGATATAAAGTGAAACAAATTGTTCAGTCGAATACAAAATCAATTTATTATAGAAATTATAAACACTTCAACTAGAACGAATTTGATTTAAATGGTGTAAGTATTGATTGGAATCGCATACACTGTATAGAACATTTAAATTTTCACACTGAAACGTTACACCCTGCCATATTATCGATAAATGATATTCTTGGTTTCAGCAAAACCAATGCAAGGTTAAAACTTTCAAAAAAACACATAGCATTTCTATCAATCTAGCATTAGAAAAGAGTGCAATTTGTCCACAAATAAAAACGTACAATCAACAAAAAACGAAATACATAATTTCAAAACTCCAATAGGAAGTAAAAATATTGAACAAAAATCTGATTATTATTAGCAATCCAAAAATGATACATTCGATAACCACACTTTTGGACATTCTCAAATCGCAAACGAGGAAATCAGAAGTTTGATAAAATAAACTTAACAGACAACTTTTATAGAGCTGCATAATATCGAGTGTGCAAAAGATGGTGTAAATAGGAGGTTATGTATAATAATGCAAGAAGTGGATGAAGCTGAAAAACTTGTTATATTTTTTCAATCGCCAGAAACTCGAAATTTGTAATCACTGTGAAAGAGAAGAAAAACGAAATATATAATGTTTTTATAATGATGCTGTTAAAAATGAATTCATAATTTTTGTAATGTGATTGAATAACCGTTGAAAATTCAAATATTACGAACGAATCTCGGAAAAACAAAACCATTCACTCTTCAAGAAGTATCAACTATCAGTCCATAACTATCTCAATAAAAAATAGAAAGCTTCATTCCTCCGGTTGATCGCACTGTTTTGTAATCATTTCGTAAAACGGCGATGAACAATAAACTATTTCTAGGAACACACAGAGTCATCCTGGGAAGATATAATGAATGCAACAATTATTCTGAATTCACGTCACAACTTGCATCACACATGTCTCCAAGTTCAATCATAAAATAAAATTGATTATAACGAAAAATGAGAAATTAAACTTCCTATGTTTTTATATCACTTGTATTTGCAACTAAACTTTGTAAAACCAAGCAATGGAATGCTGCAAAACATTATCATGCATAGTGCACGGGATCTCCCAGACAAAGCTGCTTATACACTGAGGAACGACCTATTTTTTTTTACTAATATGCGGCTGGGTTTAGAAAATTGTTCTGGGTGGAATGTGGGGAGTTTCCAATTTCTTTTAACAATTTCTTTTAATAGTATTTCTTTTAACTTTTATACAAAATTTACATATACTCTGTAGAAATAAATGAATATCTATCTATCTATCACNTAACTAATTATAATTGCACTAATATCAAATTTCAACACTCAAATCGCGATCAGTTCCTGAACAGAACATTGATGACATGAAGGCGATAACCGTCTCCGCATTTCCCGAGTTCTATTCGTCACCGTAACATGAGTAGTTCGGCTTTCTATTTATTGGTTTTTTTGGCCTTTGATAGTGCCGTCACTTTAAATATGCACAAATTCTTTACTTCGACTATACCACTTATTTTCTAACTCTTTAAACATAAAAACTTTTGTTGCTACAACTACATTTTTTATCCAATTCAAGACTTACTCGTGCATTTGTTCTAATGTATGTATCAATTTTTTCCATCAATCTGTGAAAAAAACAATATCAAATGGAAGCATTTTCTAAAAGTATACTTCCTTGTTTCAGGCCCAAACTTTTGCCTTGGCCGATGGCGAGGGCCAAGTGCGCAGACGAGAAGACCTAGGCAACATCGGCGTCGAAGACATGATCCAACTTTCTGACCTCCATGAAGCCGCCCTTCTTTGGAAATTAAATTTCAACTGCTTTCTTTTGAAGGTTAGTAGTATCTGAAAAAGCGACATCTATGTGTTAGGCCTTAGACTTTTCAGAGCAGGTATTATATATATTATCATAATTTTTCATAATACTCAACTGGAAAAGATCGATTAAGGTAAAAACATCAGTCCTTTCTGAGAATTTACTGCGTGCTATTTTGGAATTATAGTATAGCTATTATTTTAACGATTGATTTACGTAAGATGGAGATAAAGAAACAGCATTAGAAGCGGTGACATTAAAAATATCATTCAACTGAATGAAAAAAACATGAATACTGAGTTAGACCCAGTCTTGAATAAAGAAAGAAATATGATGGCCTTTAGTTTCTTGTCATGATACAGATAGTGTGTGAGGGAAAATAATGAGTAACGGTAGTGTCCAAAATTTTTTGAAATTCTTCTGCGCCGATCTCGTGTCGATATTATTTTGTCAAATTGCTCCAAGAATTCAAAAATGAGACAAAATTTGTAGATTTATGTCACACATTGTGATTTATATTTATCGATTAATTCATAATAATAAGAACTGTCTTGTTCCTGAAAATAGCTATTAAGCCAACATCACTTCCTCATCGTTGGAATTTCTTTGGAAATTGTTCTGTAGGAACAGAAAATAATCCGAGGGATTGGAATCTAGTGAAAAGGATCCCAAATGCGGCCGTTTTTGCTTGATTTCTTCACTCAAACGTTGCAATAATTTCGCATGATACTCGTCGTTGATAGTTTTGTCTTCTTCATGATAATCATCCCATCTCACTGTTTCGTGTTTTCTTTGTCTGGGGTGTGAAGTGATGGACCCAAGTTGTATCCATGGTTATGAAAGGACGCAAGAATTCTGCTTTGTTGATGTGTAACACTCTATTGAAACATCTTCACGACACTGTTTTTACTCGAGTGTGAGCAGACGCGACACACATTTTGCATACAGCTTTCTCATGTCCAAATTTTCAGATAATATACGATATACCGCATGTTTCTGGAGTCATCACCTCATTTGGTCGACCACTGCAATGCTCGTCTTGGAAGCTCGTACGGCCTCGTTTAAACTCTGCTACTCAATACTGTATGTACTATTGTAAAGGAAGAAGCAGACTCGCCCAGAGTAGAATCCAATTCAACTGAGACCTGTCAAATAAAAGTATTGAACCACCAGTTTTCTCCATTTTCACAAATTTACCGAGAACGTTCACTATTGATGGCTGCCAAACAAATACTAAGTTATGCAGCGCCTTCAAACTCGAAAGATATGCTCTATAGATCATGATGATAGGGATGGGAATGTGAAGGGACTGTAAGAATGTTCAAAGTTCCTCCACTGAAACTTACCGTTCATACCGTCAATACTTCATGCATGACTGTGAACAAACAAGGTTATATGCGTTGTACTATGCGCCCTTCTTCAAAATATTCCATCCTATCTTCTTGAACACCTCATCTCGTTGATCCTGGACTAATTTTTCTAGGGCCTTCAATATCGAGAAGTCAGAGACGTGGGGACTTCTCACTTCTGGAAAAAACTGCAAGTTTCTCAATTATGAACTTGGTATTAGCAGTTACCTTCCTTCTGTCAATTGCCTTCTTCTCCACTTGAGGAGACAAGATCTTGGTTGGCCTTTATTTCATTCAGATGGTATTGCAGATGAATTTCAGAACTTGCTCTGGCTTTTCTTTCCATTTGGAAGTCCCCAATTTTCAACTGTATGGAGGTTGCTCGAACATAGACTTGAATTCGATATTGCATACTATGGATAATGATGCGAAGCATATCTTTGCTTCTACATTATAGATTCAGATCCCTTCCTTATTTCGTTATAATTCGCATTCCTCCTCTTTTTACTCCTTCCTCTTCTTTAGGTAACCTGTTGCGTTTTCAATTGTTTTTTTCGGTTTCTTTTCATGTGAAAAAATCTTTGCTCCCGCATTTTCTACAGTTACTTGAATCTTGTATTCCATTTATATTCGAGTTAGATATCGAAGTTTCAATATTTCCCTTGTAGAACTTCCTTGTAGACCTTAACCCCGCACCGAAAATAATACTTTCTTAGTGGCGCTCTTTGTTCAAGTTGCATTTTTAGATAATTATTTTTACCTCTCAGGTAATTTGAAATTGGAAAATTTGAAATTTAATTTATACATTTCATCTATAATTTCACTTTGCCATTGAGATAAAAAGGAAAATGGATTATTAAGTAGGTACCATGATAATACCCACTTCATCATGTTAATTAGGTTATTCATGTATTTAGTTACGCTTGGCTATATTCATTTCAATTTAATTGAAATTTCTCTAATATCTCATATCATTCGAAAAAATATCAATGGGAATCATAAAGCGTATAATGATAATGTTTTTTTTTGGAATATGATATTCACCTTATGCAAAGCAGTTGGTATAAACACTTGCAATAATGATTATTTCAAAATTTGATTATATAGGTAAAAACAGGTGGAGCTTCTAAACATTCCGTTCTAGTTTAGGAAAAAAATCATATTTTTCTTGCAGCCTTCACCAACTAAAATTTAGGATTGATTCAAAGTTTTTCTAGTAAGTCCACATGAGTGGCTAACATTGCAACCCTCTTTTTAACGGGGTTCGTTTCATCAAATTTCATCACCCACTCAACTAGATCTTCCTGACATTCATAGTTTCTGGAAGACATTTCCTCAAAATGAGAGAACTTCTTCTCAAATTCGTGAGCCATGTCCTCAAAATATTCCAACTGAATAATCACTGCAAAAAGTCTAAATATTTGAAGACCATAAATGATTCGATAACATGAAAAATAATTTTTGGTCCCGCGAAAGTAAAACACTATCTGTATGTGTAGAGTAGAGAGGGTGAGTATAGGCCTACAGCACTTAGGCCACATTTGACCATTGTACATCCTCCCGTGGAGTTGTCCTCCTAGGTCATCGTCCATCCTGTCCTTTCCAGGACAGGATGGCAGGTGTAGGCCAAGACTCGCCGAACACACACTCTCTTATCAACGATAACTCTGGACACTAGCATAGGACATGCCTGATAGTTTCATATTCCTGTTCGTACATCCTACATAGAGGTGTGTCCTCTGGTCCCATATTATGCAGGTGTTTCCTTAGTTGACAGTGGCCAGTCAGAAATCCTACTGTTAAGCGTAGGTTTTTCCTGGACATCGTCAGATGTTTCTTCGGCGCCCAGAGTGATCCTGGTAAAACTGCATCCTTTGATTTCATCCCATCTCTTTAGGAAACTGACACACAATACCCAAGAATAAAAAATTATTGGTGATAATTAGTTCTGCACTGTATCCTTTTGAATTATATTTTCAAAGTAAATTATATTTTCAAAGTAAACATAAGTAGATTACATCCACATTAGCACAAATCAACATGCTTCGTAATTTCATGCTCATGTCGTGGAAAAGAGTGCTTCGTCTTGTAGTTTTATCCATAACGTTGCTGATGAGGTGATGAGTCTTGTCCCGAAACTTCGAAGTACCCCATTAAGAATGATGAAACGTTTGGGGATTGTAATCAAAAAAGACCACTGCAATACCCGGAAACCAACCAAAACACTGCTCATATAATTTGCCAAAACGTATAGTACTTTAAAACCTGTTTTACGTTCACAAATGAAGCTTCTGAACAATACCTTCATATTCACCTGTCCGCACAATTTCAGAATTTTTCATTTATTTTACGTATGTAGAGTTATGATATATAGGTTATGATATAAATATAGGCTTTTATTTTTGAGATACAGGGTGTTGAAAATTCATTTTAATTTTGGTTTTCGTAGAAAAATCTCAAAATTATGTTGATATTTGGACAAAAATTGGTATTTGGGAACTTTTCAATTTGACAAATTCAAATTTGGTTTTAGTTTGGCACTTAATTACATAGGGCGCCACCTGCAGGTCTTGGTCTCTTTTGGGAAGTAACAACTTTTTTGTACCTACATGTATGTATCACATTTTCTTGAACAAAAATTGATTACCCTATTATTTTTACGTAAAAAAGGTATGCTTGTCAGAAGTCGCTACAAGCAGCCGTTTTGAGATATTTTGAATTAAATTATTCGATTCCTGGGTTTGTCAAAAATTGAAAAATGATATTATTTTTTCCGTTCAACCTAGAAACAGTTCAAACGCTAATTGTCAATCAACACTAAATAACGGAACACTAGATATGGATCTAATTCAAAATCACAATAAATATTCGAAATATCCACATCCTGCCTGTATGCACGCATCCAATCTTCTTTTCATTGATTCGCCACTTTGTGAGTATCTTAAATCGATCCGCAAGAGCTATTTTTCGATTTCTCAATTTTTCTTTATTTTGGATAGGTGTCTCTTGAATTGAAGATTTTAGATGTCCAGAGCTTGTTTCCGGGTGTTCTCCCACCAGATTGAGTCTTGCTTCCTCGGTGGTTCTTATCGTCTGATGCCTTTCCGACAGATGAGTAGCATTCTCAAGACTTCCTGTTTCTCCTGACCGAGTGTGAATTCTTGAAAAGATTTTTGAAGTAGGAGTTGTGCAGTTCGGATAATGCTCCTGGTACAAACATCTAGCCTCATTTGCATTTCCGTTAGCAAGTCCGTATGTGAAATGTATGTCAGCATTCTCTGCATTGGTTAAGTTTACCATTTTCAAACAAATAATCACACTAATAACAAATAAATCTATTAAACTATGCGTCAAGATGTTATTTTTGACATGGCAGCACAAAAACAAACATTGGAATAAACTTAATAGTCTACTTCCGTTTTCAAAGAGTTCGAGAATCAATTGAGAATCATTTGGATGCATCGATTAATTTAAATTAAAATATTTCGAAACAGCGACTTTAGACAGACATAAGTTTTTCACGTAAAAATAATAGAGGAATCGATGTTTCTTCAAGAAAATGTTATACAAACATGTACAACAAAGTTGTGACTTCCCTAAAGAGACCAAGACCTGTAGGTGGTGCTCCCTACAATTGAGTTCCAAACTAAAACCCAATTGGAATGTATCATATTAAAATGTATTTCAACACGATGTATTTCAAAAATGAAGGCATTGCGGACCCAAACTTTTCACCTTATAAATAACTGAGGAATCGTCCTGTAAAATTTTCGACATAATACCATGTATGTGATATTTGCATTGGAAGTATATTAAGCTTTGTGTCTTTTTGAAATCACAAGATTGTCGTGAAATGAAGCTATATTTACTATCTAGCTATTAAAATTGGAATAAAACAATCTACAATTTTTAAATGGACTTAACCTTTTTAAATCAATTTGGCGATAATCAGTAATATATATAAACAGCGTCAATTTGAACAGATTTGGATTAAGGTTCTACCTACCCTCTACTTCAAAGTTGATTCTGTACCGGGGTTGCTTTTGCCTTTTGGGGTGTATACCACCTCTTATAGTGGGTGGAAATTCATTCATTGGAAATAAATCCAGACTTAAACTGACTAGTTCTAAGCAATTTTCGTTCTATAAGGTTTTTTCTGCAGATGAATACTCTTCTTCGACTTATTCGCGAGTGGAAGTATGAATATTTCAACCAATTTTTCGAAAATAACTCAAAAAATGAGTATTTTATCGAAAACATTATTTCTTGTGAAAAATATAGCCTATAGGGAAAAAATACAAACGAAACTTATTGACGATGGGGTCTTATTTGTTGAACGTCAAAATGTTAGAGTTCTAACGTAAAATAACAACAAAAAATGAATTTTTTTGAGAAAAACTGATGATAACTCTTTTGAAATTCTTGAAAAAACTTTAATTTTCATTTTTCAATAATATCTTCAGCACCAAAATTGAGCAACTCATGATGAAAATTATGTTTGTCTATATTTCTTACGGCGACAAAATAATGTGACAGTCACCCCTATTTACCATCATGATTGAGAATTTTGAATACAGTGGCACATTACTTGGTGGAAATCAATAATACTCTACCTAATAATAATTACAAATTGAACTCTTCAACTATGGAAGGACTGTTGTACTGAAAAGCGTGTGGAAAATACATTCTGTCATGAATACAATTGAAAATAATCGTAACCACTTTACACACCTTACTTTATTGATGTACATGTTATATGCTCTAGTAGTTTGAGCGGTTCAAATTGCTTAGTTTTGAAAATAATCGAGCTTGAAGCGAAAATATCATTTTTGTAGTTTTGCAAAAAATGTCTTTTATTTAAAGGAACTCGAAAACTATCAATTGGAGCATCAATGCTCCAATTGATTATTTGATGCTTTAAAATAATTTCTAATTTCAAAACTAAACTACTCAACTAAGTAAATTTATTCTATCGATACCGAGAGCGGTGTTGCCGAAAACTTAAATTAATTTTCCTTAAATATATACATGCCAAAACATTCTGTCATGAATACAATTGAAAATAATCATAACCACTTTACACACCTTACTTTATTCATGTACATGTTATATGCTCTAGTAGTTTGAGCGGTTCAAGTTGCTTAGTTTTGAAAATGATCGAGCTTGAAGCGAAAATATCATTTTTGTAGTTTTGCAAAAAATGTCTTTAATTTAAAGGAACTCGAAAACTATCAATTGGAGCATCAATGCTCCAATTGATTATTTGATGCTTTAAAATATATGCAACATTATAGAAATATTGATTAATTGAATTCTTGATTTATTCAGAAGAAAAGTCATTGTATTTTTTTTCATAAAAGACAAAACACAAGCATGTGCGAAAGTAACGATTCACGTCCATTTGGAAAAAGGTTCTCGGGAAGTTCATTATACATAAACGAAGTTTATTAATTGAATAAGTTTTCAAACAATGAAGTTTGAGGTGTACTGAGATGAGCCTCAAAACGATGAGCAGCCACAGTCCGTCGTGTATTTCTGATATGTACCGCTCTTGAACACTTCCCGTGAATGTATCTATAGAAGAGAGACAAATCCCGTCTTCGATGTTCCAGACTATCAAGGTTGCAAGTGGACAGATGAAATCCATCAGCTCCAGTATGTTTGGGGATATCCATACATGAGAACAATACTCCAAAGGTCTGATCTGAGCTTTATAAAACATCAAAAGTTGCTGAGATGTGTACACTTTTCTGGTTCGGAACGGTGTACCAAGCTTTTGAGAAGCAGCCTTTGCCATTCCAGCAACAAACGTATCGAAGCAGAAAGCGGAGTTGTCCTTCCTGACATTATTATATCCGGTTTGGAGACATTTATCTTTTTGGAAAAAACTGATGCTGGAATTTTTGTGGTGATGAATTGAACCTGGTTAGTTTCATCCCAATTCGATATCACTTCTAGATCCTCATAAACATATGCAACATCCTGCTGCCGGTGGAGATGTGCATCTGCAGCCGATGTCCTGGAATCCAAATGGAATTACGAGACAAGTGTGCTTCAGCAAAGCAATATATTGGATTCTTGGTTTTTTTCAATAAGTCGTTGATATACAATAAAAAAGGGATGGAGACAATATGGATCCCTGGGGAACCCCAGCTTTGATGTTATAAGTATTCGAGAGATATCCATTGACGGCCATTGCGGATAAGTTGAGAAGAAAAAGGAGGGTGCTATGAAATGAACACTCGGTATAGGATCAACTTCATTAGAGTGTTAATAGAACTTACGTGCAAATTTTCATCACTATAGGTGTTGTTGAAAAAATTATACGAGAAAAATTATTAGCTTCATAGATTATGAGTTAAACTGGAATAGGTAAATTTTGTACCTATATAGACATGGCAAAAATGACAATTTTTCTTATAATAATTTCAGGTTGTGGTTATTAGTGGAGAGAGCGGTTCCGGTAAGACTGAATCAACGAAATTAGTGATGCAATATCTAGCTGCCGTAGCACCGTCAGCCCCAAGGGGCCAGGCCCTAGTCACGGAACAAATTCTAGAAGCTGCTCCTTTACTGGAAGCTTTCGGAAACGCCCGAACAGCGAGAAACGATAACAGTTCCCGTTTCGGTAAATATTTAGAAGTATACTTCAAACACGGTTCAATCATTGGTGCCAAAATGACACAGTACCTACTAGAAAAATCTAGAATAGTAACGCAAGCACCTGGCGAAAGGAATTACCATGTGTTCTATGAACTTCTCGGAGGCTTGACTAACGTTGAAAAGCAGAAGTATGGGCTCATTGAAGCTGACAAATACTTTTATTTGAATCAAGGTGAGTAGTCATTGGTCAACTGATATAATATATTATAACGGAAATAAACCAAATCATTTGTCACTCATCGGGTGGTATATACAAAGTCTTTTACAATAAATATTTCACTGCTGGAAATATGGGTCAGAATTATGTGTTTTGATTCTGGATGTGTAGAAGTATCTAACGTAGTTCAATATTACTTCAATATAATATGGAAAATACAAAAATGTAAAACAATACTAGATAATTCGTTAATCAATGTGACATTCTCTAAAATGCCAACATCTTTCAGCATGACTACTCTTTCATTCATTCATTCATAGAATTCAATAATGTATCTAAAGCAAAGTTGAAAGAAAATTTTTATCTACTCAATATGGATTTTGTTATCAAATACTTCAGGGAATTCGTTGAAATATTCAATAATAATATTCATTTATATCACATGAACAAGTTGTAGAGCTTTCCAATCAGTTGAATAACAAAATATCATGAGCCCATGAAGGGTAAAACCTCCTACAAGAAGAAATAACTCAAAACTAAAATGAAATTAAGTAGGTACAGAGAATTTCGTAAGAGGTGGTAACCTACTTCGTGGATCAACGATGGTAATTAAAATCTGCACAAAGGAAACAACATTATATTGAAAAATGAAATAGATTATCTAGCGTGCGAAATAGTTGATAATGACATGGAGAATGAAAATAATGTAGGCTCACGGAGGCATTAGAACATTGAATGAAATATAGATATACGAGATATACTATATGATTCCGTCTTTCTGGCAGTTTTTCGACAACATTGATTGAAATTGTGAAGCTCTTCTAAATTTATATGTAAGTAAATATTTTAATTTTTGATTTTGATTGATAAATTGTAATTTTCATATGCATGTATAGATGCACTATAGAAAAAAATAATCCAAGAAATAATTCAAATTTTACATTTCCGAGCATAATATTAGGATCACCTCGTAACTTGACCTTATGTTAGGAATTTATACTTTTATCGGAACTATTCCGATGTTTTTGAAACAAAATTGTTATTGATAAGCGTTTGACAAAAAAGGACCCCTCACTCGAAGGAAGAATAGTCCAGTCATCACCTGAAGACGATTGTGGATATTAACAGTCAAAACGTCGTGAAAAGTCCGCTGACGATGGATATAACGGCGGTCAGAAGTCACGATAATCAGTCTCGCAAACACGGAGGGTTGATCTATCAAGTTATGGATGTTTTTCACGAACGTCGCGATTTAAATCGTTAGTTCGTGGTAAGATCAGATAAAATAACTAATTGGCAAACAAACCATGATACCAGAAGTACTCTCTCTTGTTTTTTATAGGATTATTTTCCAAGAGGTTCCTCAAAACCCCAACAATGAGCAAGTGAATTGTATGTCTGAATTCCCTCAAATCAAAGTCACGATAATGCTCGTGAGCTCTGGGAGTTACCCCCTGACTTCAGCGGGGCCACTTTCCTCTCCACTCATCTTCGTGCTCTGCATCTCGACCTCTCTCCTTGTCATCTCCCCCCACCCTCAACCAATCACTTCCTTTCTTTCCCTAGCCCTTTTTTCTTTCCCTTTTTCAGCAAGAGGAAAGGATGAAATGTATTTTTACATATAAGTTTGACTCTGTGATTGTATAGCGGTGTAAAAGGAATAAACACAATGAATAATTTTGAGTTTTGGTCTACTTGTTCGAAGACCTGGTTCAAGGCGACGAGGGTCAGCAACAGCTATAGAGCTCTTTCGTTTCTAGTTCATTGAGTAACCAAACAGTTTCGGCTGTTCCCCTACGAAGTCATCAGAGAGAAGTGGAATATGTAAACGTAAATTATTGGGTTATTTTTTCGAACTACAGCTACTGGATCGCTGTTTTCCCGTGAACATCTCACTACATTCCCATGAACATATCGCCGCTTTCCAAGACTGAATTTTGCACGAGATCACTTCGTTTGGACAACAGATTGGAAGCGTGTATTTCTATGAATTGCGATTCTGCGTAACGGACTGAGATATACCTACACCAGTATGGAGACAATCAGGCGAGCGACTTCCATTTGGTGGCGGACCAGTTATGTTATGGGGAGGCATCTCGTTTAACGATCACTCGAAGTTGGTTGAAAACGGGACATTGACTGCACATAGATACCTTACAGAGGTTATACACGACGGTGTTTCACTGTTCATGATTTTTGTTAAAGACGATGTAACATTTATCCATCATGATACACGACCCCATGCTGCGAGATTCATCTCATGCGATTTGTTTGGCTATCAGTCCACATTTCAATCCCATTGAACTTGTTATCCAAAGACTTGTGGTGGGTTCCTTGAGAATGGGAAAATCTTCCTTAGAATTTGATTCGAAAAACTGTTCTGAAGCTTTTTTGTCGTTAATAGCCTTATTGTCGCATTCTCCTTCGAAATTGCTGATAAAAATGTTTCCAATCGTTGGCTGCGTCGGCATTTTGCAGACAAGACCCTGTTACTCCTAAACAGCGCTATTCTAAATGGCGGATTCCAAAAGTACAAATGTGAACGATATTGTTAGAATTATTGGAGATGAAAAAAATGTTCTAAAAAAAGCAACCGATCGTTTGATAAAATACTAAAGCGATTCAGGTGCATGAAATTTTTACCAAATTGCGGTATCTTATTTTTAAAATCACCACGTTATTTTAGGAATTACTTTCACTCGACACGGATGATCCATTATTTATCAAAGAAAAAATCTTTCAACATAATATCAACAAAAAATTTGTCTCGACTAATCAATTATGGAAAAGAATGAATGGATCGAAACAAACGAGTATAACAAGTTTAAAATCAGTTTTACCCGCAGAATCCGACAATAACGCATTGCCTATTTACGTCAGTCTCCATATCGGGATGACAACTTGTCTACTTTCAAAAGGAATTGTATCAACATATACCATGTTACGTGAAATATTACAGTCTCGGTTCTGAATACATTTGTTTTGATGTTGAAACTGATCTTAAAAACGACGAACCTTTGAATTGCTCCAGTAAAAATGAATAAAATTTGGACACTGGCGATCATGATTATTATACAACGCTTAGGTTTTGGATGCCATTCGATGCTACCTTTCATCCCAATCTAGTATCATGGAAAACGTTGGCCCCCCAAATTAACAGTATGATCAAGGTTATCTGCTTTTTCAGCAGGACAGTGCTCCTCCGCATTATCGTTCGTCAGTATTTCGACCAAAAGTTACATCTCCCGGAGAGTCGTTTTTGGCAATTTGCTACCAATTTAGACAGTGCTCGGTAGGAGCCAAGAGCTTCCAACGCCGCTTGGCTGTCCGAGCATATTAATTAACAATTCAACACAAGTCAATAAAAATATTCTCGGATAGTCAAGCGGCGTTGGAAACTCTTAGCTCCTCCGAACAACGTCTAAATTGGTAGCGAATTGCCAATAACGACTCTTCTCGATAGGAAAACTTAACAGATTGTCTCTGTTCTGAATTCCTAGCCATACTGGCTTGAAAGGCAATGAGGCTGCTGAGTCCTTTGCAAAGGAAGGTGCTGCAAGCAGCTTCGTCGGACCAGAATCTGTCATTGGCATCGCTTTAGTCTTTGCCAAACAAAGGTTGAACACGTGGATGGCAAGAAGATTCATGGACTTCTGGCAGAATCTCCTAGGATTGGCTCACTCCAAGGCGTTTATTCACCCTTCGAAGCTTGATGCCAAACAGTTGTTGGATTACAGTAGGGATGAACAACGATGTCTAACCTGTCTTCTTACAGGTCACTGTCATTTGAATCATCATATGCAGAGACTCGGACTGTCGGAAGACATTGTGTGTCTCTGTTTGGAAAATGATGAAATAGCAGAGCACATACTTTGTGCCTGCGCCGCTGGGGACCGAATCAGGTTTTTAGAATTTGGCCTAGCCGTACCCTTACCATCTGATCTGAAAGACCACCATACAAACTAATTGGCTTCGCTAAGAAGCTGATGGTTTTATTTGGTCGAGTGTGAATATGTGTGAGCCACAATAAACCCTTGCGGGTTGCGGTGGAAGGTCAAATAGACCTACTCACTTTGGACCTAACCTAACCTAACTACCTAGAGCTACCGGACTGAATCATGGCCGGTGGGAGAAATCGTATCTGCATAAAGTATTTAAAATATGTTTGTCCTGAATTTGGATGTTTACGGCTCGAATAACCTAACAGACTGATAACAGATTTCTACACATCTACTGCACATCTTAAAGGGGGGGATTCTCACCGGTCATGACAATGAAAGTGGCACAATTACTAGACTTCATCCACATTTACCTGAAAAATAAAATTGGCGAGTGTCGTCGATCATTCTGAAAATACTTGAAAGGATTTCCAAAAAAATGTGTATAGCTGATGATCATCAGTTTTAAAATACAACAACTGAAGAATTTTAAAACACGAAAACTGAAATATTCTGGTAATCAAGCGCTATTTGAGCACGAATTTGAGTTCGGATCAATTGGAAGTAATGACTGAGGTGTCATTCACCCACAGTAAAGGCGGTAAAAGTTACAGATGATTCAGTTGAATTTAAAGCAAACATTGCTCCTAAATACCAGAACTGCAACATGCTTCTCGACGCGCTTCTCACCAACCAAGCTGGCATCATCAGGAGATGGAGTAGTCTACGCCTACTTGTTTTTTGAAGTTCCCGTCAAAAAGAGTGTTTGCAGTTCTAGTGTTTGGGAAAGTTCATTTTTTGGGTTTATTCTACGCTAGAGGTTCCAGGACTGCCTTTTATTAATTCAGTGAAAGGAATAAACAAGAGGTTCATTTTTTGATCTCAAAAACAATTCCAAATGTTCTACATTTTAAAAGATCTTTAAATAAAAATAATGATTAACGACGCAATTGTTTATAACAATTCTCCGAACATTAAAATTGAAAAAAAAAATCGAGTAGCTTTTATCACTCAATATGGGATATCTGTTGACATGTAAGTGAGACTGTTGTTGCTTCCGATATTGATATTGGATTTTTAATGGGATGTTTTTGAAAATCTTTCGATAATGAAGGTAGTGCTGGAACCTATGGCGTTGAACCAGAAATGCAATACTCTTCTCGACGTGTGTTCCACCAACCAAGTTGATGTCTTCAGGAGATGAAGAAAACCAATTCGTAACTCTGAAACTCTCTAACAGGGTACACTTTCAGAATATCAAAGTGAGAGTAGAGTTTACGAGTTAGGGATCCTGAAGAGCCGTCTTCAGGATTTGGAAACTAATTCCTATCTCTAAGTATACATAATAGGTTGGTGAATCACGCGTCGAAAAGAGTATTGCATTCCTGGTGATTTGGATAAGTACTTGTTCTGGATGTCTTTATAAAAAAACATGACTGACCTGTCAGACAAATTTTTCTGAAAATAACTTTGAAACCTAAGCAATTGAATACCTCTTCAGGTGTTGAGACCCTGTATATAAAACTACAGATGGTAATTGGAGATAACGTTAAGGAATGTTCACAACTATTGCTGGCGGAATATCATTTGCGAATGTAAGAACAGGCGTATTGAATTTCATTAGTTTGGACTGCCATTGTCTGAAAAATGATTTCAAATCCCTGAAAGAACTAATGAAAAAGAAGCATTAAAAAATAGCTGAAAATGAAAATAATATCAAGCAAAAACCTGAAATGAAATAACAGTGAAATAAAACACAAGTAGAAATTGAACAATGGAACCATGGGAATACTGAACTAGACGCCTTCCTGAAACACATCAACAACGTCAGACCTTCCATCACTTTCGCAATGGAGAAGAAAGTCCATAAGGAATTGCCATTCTTGGTGGAGAGGACGACACTAAGTGGGAAAAATCTGTATACCGAAAACCTACTCATACGGGACAGTATCTGAACAACAAATCCAACCGCCATAAATCGACTAAAAAAAGGAATCATCAAGACTCTATTAGACTGTGCTTTCGGGCTCTGTAATACGAAGGAAGGTCTCGAGAAGGAACGAGACATCATCAAAAGTTATCTTCAACGGAATGGCTACTCCAAAGCGATGTTGGAACAGACTTTGGTTGAAAAACAGTAGGAGCCTCGCAAGGAAGAGGAGCCGTCACAACCAGTGCTTGAACTTCCCTACATCTGAGGATTATCGGAAAGGACAAGAAGAATTGGGGCCAAGTACAACATCAGAACCTGCTTCAAATCCGAAAACACTATCCGTATAAGCCTCAAGAAAACCAGGCCACCAAACGTGGACTGTGATTCTAAGAATTGCATTTACCGGATACCCTGTGAGTGCGGAAAATTCTATATCGGTGAAACTAAGAGACCATTGAATGTTCGCATTGCCAAGCACAAGAAACACACAGCGAGGAGAAATCAGCAAATCAGGAATAGCAAAGCATGTTTGGACCCATCAACATAACATCGAGTGGTGTCAAGCTGAGATCATACACATGTCCTAAAATGTATTCAGCAAAGCTAGCGTAGAGATACCAAACATATGGAAACCCATAATCAAGCGAAAAATGGTCAACTCCCGCCAAACGGTCATCTCCCATTGAACCGGTGAAGCAGAAAAAGGAAAGCGGAGATGAGAGAATGTATTCGAATGACCCATAAATAGTCATATCTCGGAGGAATTAGTCCAGTCATCACCTGAAGACGATTGTGGATATTAACAATCGAAACGCCGTGAAGTAACTTGGCTTGGAATCTCTTAACTTTTTATTATTCATAACTTTTCTTCAGTTGTTCTATTTTGACTTGTATTTTATTTCACTGTTATTTCATTTCAGGTTTTTTTGCTTGATGTAATTGTTATTTTCGGCTATTTTTTAATTCTTCTTTTTTATTACTTCCTTCAGGCGTTTCAAATAATTTTTTATATCAGACAATGGAAGTTCGAACTAATGAAATTCATCATGAAACATTGTCACCTTCAAACAAACAGGCGTATTGCTTTTGAAATAAAGAATAATCATGCACATATTTCCATTTGTAATATTAAAAACATCTACTCCATCAATTCCCAATCGTTTGAGACATTGATATGCGACCCCCTCTAATTTCCTCGAAATCTGATTAGGAAAATTCCATTATAGTAATGAGCGTGATTAATTGCTTTACCGTCACTGTAATCACTGAATATTTTTCAATAGGCATGGTCAAGAAGGAGTGGAAGTTGGATCCGATGTCGAAATCAAGTGGGCTGCCCATCTCTTGCAAATTTCTGCATCTGGCCTGCAACGAGCCCTGACATCGAGAATCACGGAGGCAAGAGCGGAAAGAGTTTTTTCTCCTTTGAGCATCGATCAAGCGTTAGATGCCAGAGATGCTTTCGCCAAAGCGTTGTACTCGGCCTTGTTCAGTTGGTGAGTTGAAGTATTTTTTGCAATAAAATTTTGAGTTGGAAAAACGAAAAAACTATAATGTTTCTATCCATGATAATCATAGAACAATTTTCACAGCATAACTTTATTCAAGACGTGTTTCACTATAAAGTAGCTTTTTCTGTTTAACCGGTATATTAAAATATTTCATAATGCGTTTTATAGAAACTACAAAACTCATTTACTAATTATTAGTTCTAGAAATGATGGTAGATTTCAAGGGAAAGTAGTTACAATCCAATAATTGGCCAATAACGATTATTTCTAGTAATTTTTTTAAACAAATTTGATGGCTTTCGCTTATTGATTTCCAGGGATTCCAACTGGTTTCATTGCTGTCCATTATTTTCGTAGTTCATGTCCAAAGCATTGCTGCTCTCTTGAAAATTGGTTTTCTTACTTTGAAACTTTTTTTGTGTTCTGAAATTCTTATTTTGAAATTTCTAGATGTTCCATCTATATACATTTTTGGCATAACCCACTTGTAGACACCTGATCTATCATTATTTATAATACGTCAGCGCAAAATGTTACCTATTTTGTATGTTTGGTTCAGTTAGTAGTCTTTTCATTTTTTCTGATATTTTTTTGGTATAACAGTGTGTTGTGAGTATTTATCGGCCTGTTGAAATAGTTTTTTGTTAACGATTCATGAATCATATTCGGGTTGGAGTTGTTGTTGACTGCATTTCGCTTTATGCAATTCAGTTCCTCATCAGTGTTGATTGTTGTGTCTTGATGGATTGGTTTGCTGTAAATTATTATAATCATTATCAGTTGACCTAGTTTTTATATATGTTTTGTGTGAAGTGATTCTATTGAAATTATATAACTTCAGAACTCTCCATCTATTACGCTTCTGCATAACTTTCAATTTTATTAATTTTAATAAATTTCCATGTTTGTATAAATCACCAATGAAAAGGGTTGGCATTTCAAGGTATGAGTGCTCGCAAACTTGTAAATCGGAAAAAAAAATCTATTTCCCGATTTTGTTGTTTTTAACAAATTTTCTGTGGTGTATTGAGTACTATAATTTCATTCTTACTCGGATATTTATATACCCTACGTAATCACAGTTGAGACTATCTCCTTAGGTACTCACTCGATCAAATTACCTGAAACATCTACAACTTTTATATACCTAAGGTACAGCTTCAATTATGATCACCTATTATAGCATATTACATCAATTCTACATCAATAATTATTAGATATTAAGAAAACAAATTCAATAATGGTGATCTATTTGAATCCAGTTGGTCATTCATCATTAGAATGTTTGAATTTTTACGTTTATTAATTTCTATTGCCTCCAAATAATTTAGCTTCAAAATTTTCTGTGTAAAATTTCGGAATCTTCGTTAAACATATAATTTTGTTCTAAAAGTTGATTTGAATATTTCGAACTTGTTTTCTTATTAACGTAGCTCATATGATGTTCCAGGATACGATTCCTGAATATTTTGCCAGTTTGACCAATATATTCCTCAGTTGTTATATCTATTTGGAGTCGTCTGACTTGTTCATTTTTTGTAGTCTCCAAAAAACAATTTAACCTTCACTTTCTCCTCACCCATCTTTTCATAATACTCACAACAATCTGTCGGATGTTTCTCATATTCCCATTGATTTTCCACAAATGGCTTTCTGCGGTTCAATGCATATTTCACGAAAGGTTGTCACTGTCACTGTCAGTGATCAGAAAGTAATCATTCTGAACGTTCTCCAGATATATCGCTGCAGTTTATCAGTTGTTTTTTCTGACGGCCCCTTCATAAAAATGTTTTTATGTATTCCGAGGCATATTTTCGTAATGTTCATTATGTTTCTCAAATCCATAGCTGGATAAGATCTCATATACATGGCCTAGCACACTCATTAGCTTTTTCCTTCACTGAGTGATCTGAGACCCATCACTACCGATTCAATTTATTACTGTCCGCTAGTTATTTTTGTTCTTCACGTTATTCTCAGACGAGTCCACTTTTTATCGGTTCATAATGCTCCAACCTGTTTATCTGTAAGAATTCTGGTTCGCTCATTTAGTTGAGGCTTGAAATTGATATTCCTTGACGTTGCAAGTTTGCATAAACTTTTTCCTGGAATACAATTGGGTTTTAACCCACCTGTATACCAGGTATTTCTGCCACGGTATGTGACTCTAAACGTGAAGTTTTTGACAATTGAGTACTTTGGAGTCATGTGGTCCGCGATGATCGTTCATGTACTATAGTCCAAAATTTCAATTTCACCCAATCCCTTGTTGCTTAGCAGATTTCGCAGTATAAATTTCCTCTCGCGTAATTATAAGATGTGAAGGGGGTCGATTTGAGCATATTTACATTACTGCTGATAGTATCCAGGGTCAATAGTGGTCGCTTGTATCAGGTCCAGCCAACAAACTAAAGACGCAAAAGTCATCATTTTGTATAGCATCATGTCTGTTTTCAGCCTACATGTCTTTCTGATATGATAGTAATTCGAACTACAACATACCTTTTCTGATGTTGTTTCTTTTGCGGATATTTCACAATACTTTTGTGACAATTGCAAAGAAAATGATCTCTAGATCCAAATCTCCAAAAATGTATAGTTGTTGAAAACTGTTTGAGTTTGAACTGCATGAAAACTTGACAATTGTAATATTATGAAATTTTAAATTTTACTTCCAGGTTAGTATCAAGAGTAAACTCGATTGTTCATAAAGGAGGATTACACGACGCAGCAAGGATATCTCTCTTGGATATTTTCGGATTCGAAAACCTCAACGAAAACTCATTCGAACAACTTTGCATCAATTTCGCTTCAGAATCACTGCAACTATATTTCAATAAACACGTTTTCAAACTTGGTGAGTGAAATAAAAAAAAGTTAGTTTTATAATAGGTTCATATAGTTTCACAAACTTTATTTCCAAAAATATCACATGTTCATATAGAATGGAACTACCTAAACTTACCGCAAACCGTAACAGTCATTAGGAAAATGTTTTATTGCAGTACAAAGTAGGTCTATACTTTGTCCATCATAGCAAAAGAGTGCGCACGCGTAGTGCACGTGATCCCCAGACGAAGCTTCTTGTACAGAGTCGCAATGAGGAACGACTGAAATTTTATAGTTTTTTTAATGGGATGTGGCTGGTTATACGAATTTTTTTAGGTGGTGTGTAGGGACACAAATCAGCAATTTCTTCAACCGTATCAGTAATTGAATTTCAAATCTTTATAACTTTTGAATACCTATGTGTACACACCACAGGCGTTAAAACGTATCTCACCATTTCGACCCCTGTAGCGATATACCTGAATGAATTCTGCCAGCCGATTGCAGTTGAATCTGATTGGTCAGCGTAAGGAAGCTTGTTTATTTTACTCAATAGATGCAAATGTGCGTGGTGAGCATGCTTTGATCACGCATCAATCATTGTTTGGGTTACTTTGTTTGTTGGATGAACAGAGTTTAGTTTGTGAGTGGGACCCAATAAGTTGCTTTTCAAAATCATTGTAAAACCTTCAACCCTTCATGCAGAGGATGATTACCGATTTCAAAATAAATTGGTCGAGTGATATCTCAGTAAAGAGGGTTTAAAGTTCCCCATTAATTGCTGCTCAGTTTTCAAAAATTGATTCAATCATTTGTAAGATAAGGAGCTTTAAAATACCTACACAATGCGTTTTCTAAAAAATGTAAAATTCACTCTAAAACAACGATTCAAAAAAGTAAATGCTGAAAATGTGGTACACCAAAGTTATTTTCGAATTGTTATCACATTTTTTGGAGCACATGCGATATATCATTTCGTGATGTACTTCAATGATTCATCTTTGCATGGGCGATTCAAGTCGTTTTTCATGTGTTTACATAACAAAATCCAAAGATTTCAAGCCGGGTGATCCAGGAGGTCGCTCAATTTCACCTCTTTGTTCTATCCATCGACCTCGATACCTGTTCTTTTAATAATTACACACAGTTTATGAATAATGTGGAGGATCATTATTTTGTTCAAACCCCCCTACCAGCCACAACCCCCCAACGGGGTCTCACCTTTCATGGTGCGATTCCTAGAATGAAAGTACAGAGTAGAATTGAGTTTGCTTGCTCAACAACGTTCATCTTTACGTCTCGAAAACCTATCCATGAAAATGCTAAACGAAAACAATGTTATATAAAGAATGGAAATGACCTGCAATCAAAGTATCGACCCCCTTTTCTATTTGAAAAAAATATTGGGCGGCTCTGGAGTGTATACAAGTTTTGCAGAAATGGAAAACATCTCGAAATTTCGAACTCTTTCTCAAAATTTTCACTTTTATGTCAAAATTTAATTTTTCAACTCGTAATTTTGATTTCAACCTCCAAGTTTCGAGTTCAAAGTCAAAATTTTGAAATTGAAGTGTCAATTTTGATATTGAAGTCATAATTCCAAGATTGGAGTCGAAGTTTGAAATTGGACGTTGAAATTTAGTGTTTCAATGTCGGAATTTCCATGAAACAAATAATAAAAATATGTGGCCATTCTGCGTATGTATGTTTTGATGGATAATAATTTCCAAACACGCTTTACGATTTTTGTAAGTGATAATCTTTTACTCTGATCTGTTAGTTTCAATATGAGTGATATCAAGTATCGACCATTCATATTCAAGTGATGGATCTTGAGACACGAAAAATATTAACCAAACAAAAATATACAACTGAATTCACAATATTATTCTCTTTTTTTCAGAACAACAGGAGTACGCCAAAGAACGACTCGAGTGGACGAATCTGAGTTGGGCTGACAATACACCTGTTATTCATCTCTTGGGCAAGAAACCTGTAGGGATTCTCCACTTATTGGATGATGAGAGCAATTTCCCGAAAGCCTCTGATTCTTCGTTTTTAGAAAAATGCCATTATAATCATGCTCTGAATGAACACTATTGTCGACCCAGAGTGGGAGGAAGGGAGTTTGGGGTAATTCTTACTGATTTGTGTTCTTAAACAATTCCTTGTTCACAGTCATTTTGAGTTATTGAGCTGAAGCTGTTGAAAATGGCACTGCTTGAACAACGTGAAACAGCTGAACAAAGAGCAAAGCATATTTTTCAACGATTTAATTCAGAATATGGTCGTTGTTTGTTTTATCTTTGGCCTCCAGACAATAGATACATATGTTATTATGTCTTCTTAGTTAATGCTTCTATGGTCGATTCCGTAGGGCTTATCTCCCGCCCTTGCTCTTCGATTTATCTAGTTTTAATATTCAGGGCCTGCTGCATGTGTTCCTCTACTATATTGTTATAATTGCTCTGGATTAGTATGACTAGGCCGTCTGTATAAACCAGTATTTTGTGTGTATTATGGTCTAAAAGATATAGTAATATTTTACCTTCTGTTTTTTGATATCATTTTTAATAACGCCATAAACATTGATCAAAATTGGCGAATTTAGGTTTTACTGAAATATGTTCGGAATCAAACAGAATTTCGTTAATTTCAAAAATTCAGTTACATGCTGCTATTAGGAACCCTGTAAATCACTTTCTTTAGTCTGCTCTAGACAAAAGCGTGCCTTTCAAACCCGAATAGAAACACCATTTCACCACTATTCCTAGTTTGATTCTGAATTACAATAGGTAGAAATAATCATCTCATTCGTACCAGTTGCAAAATCTTCAAATTACTCTGTCTCAGATAACTTACATGTTTTATTGGAAGGATCATTGCATATTTATATAAAAGGCTATTCCCTCTACCAGTACAGCTGACTGTAACAAATTGTTAGAATTGTTAGTGGTTCATCCATACACAATCCTTTCATCTGAATTATTCATTCGTAATTTTTTTACTTATGACGCACTGTTTGGAGCCTCTGGTATAGTAATGAATATTACTGGAGTTTTATCTCAACACTAACCGTCATTTTCACACCTCGACACGTGTTTCGATCACCGATCAAGACGAAGATTGAACTTCCTCTTGGAGATGATGATTTGGTGATTAAAACACATGTCGAATTGTTGAAATAACGGTTTGGTGTTGGGATAAAACTCTAGTAATATTAGTAATTTTCAGTCAAACATCTTTTTTAATCAACCGCTGGTCATTGGGGACTTCTTGTTAACTCTAGCCAACCTTCGTTGTCTTCTACATTACCTCGTGCCTTCTGTAGTTTATAAAAAGAATCGAGAATTCAAATAGCAGATCTGATGTTGTGGAATTGGCCGCGGTGGTAGTGCGCCCGACTCACGATCGGAAGACCGTGGGATCGATTCCCGCCTCGGCCAGATATTTTTCTCGAGATAATTTATCTGGTTGAAGCTGGAGTGATTCTGCAACCGTGTTAGAAATCGCACGTTAAAAGGTAAGACCCCGTTTGTTCTTAGCTTGCACAAATTTCTCAACTTCTGGGAGTTGTCGTTCGTATGGGGGCGACATCTGATTACCGGAAAAACAGATTTTAAACAGATTTTTTTAAACAGATGTGAATTCCACTTCTACATATGTTATGAGATCCTATCATTTCTGTCATCAACCTGTAGATATTCTATCTATACTGAAGATAATTTTTGGGAATGAATATATCTTCCTCTACCACTATTCCAGTTTTTAAATTGTGAGATCCAAAGATGAAACAAAAATTCTTCTTCAATAATTATCACAACTTTATGATGTTTACTTCCATTTTTCAGTGAGTTGTGTCATGTGGTGATCGAGGTACTAATAGGATATGATGCAGCAGATTTTCTAGTCACGTATCAGTACTGCTATATTTTTATCTGCATTTCGTGCACCCTTCTTTATAGACTTTTGTTCATTTCAAAAATTCAGTTGCAAGTAGGTGTCTAGGTTTTCTACATTTGTACCTGATGATTTATTTCTGTCACTAGGTTTGGTACATTTGTTTCAAGTATATGTATTTTTCCTAAGGTTTTATTTTTCTCTAGTTCAACTCATTCATCTATTTTATCCAACTGATTTTCAACTTATTTTACTTTGTCACTGAATATCTGTACTGAAACCTGAAAATTTTTGACTCAAACTGAAAAATTTTACCCTACACAAGAGCTGCGACACCGAGTTGGACAGGAGAATAATATATTTTTCAACAATGACTGATCTAAAGGTTTTTCCACTTCATAAATACTATAATATTTTAGATATATTGTCTGCTGATCTACTGTTGCTGTGAATGAAAGATGCAGGAATCAACTGAAAAACTTTTCAGCCAATCATTTTTTTCAATCATCCGTTCATATACATCAGATGACGAGTCTCTTCTCCTAGTTATTGAACTGAAACTGTTATTGACGTTTTATTTTCTAAGATTTATCAAATGGTTTACTTATATTACTTATCCAATGAACACTTAGATGTTTTGTTTCCTTCTTAGAGAATATTTTCATTTGGAAATTTGAGGTTCTTCAGTCATCAAATATTTGAACATCTTCATAGCCTCTAGGTTGGTTTTGAATTGCCTTTCCAAGAACTTCTGATTCAATCAGAAATATAAGCAATCCATTGCATTAGGACAACAAGCATTATCGAAATGAATAGAAAAAAAAATAGATTTGACTCAACGACCCTATTCTTGTATTTAGTTATTCATTGATCAATACTAAAAATTTGATGCTATTCACAGTGGAATAGAAATGTCGTCGCTTCACTTTTTTTCAGCATCAACATTAATATTTTTGTTACTACTTTCCAGATAAGGCACTTTGCCGGACAGGTGTGGTATTCTGTGGATGGATTCCTTGACAAAAACCGTGACGCATTGAGACCGGAAGTGGTAGAATTACTAGCGTCAAGTAAAGACGCTTTAGTGAGTTCCATCGCCAAACCACTGCTGAACTATGCTCAAACTAGGACGCTTCCAAGAGGAGCGAACGGTCGCTTCGTTACAATGAAACCGAGAACTCCAACTGGTAAGTCGGTAAATTATATTTGTCTGAATCTCTAGAGTGTATAGTCATCCAAAAGTATATTATCACGTACGGTCTCAACAATTTAAAACAATGAAAATAGCAAAGATTGGTAACTGTGGGCAGTATCAAAGGTCCAATTCTCAATAGCAAAAATCTCCATAGAATAGAATTGCTTTCAGTTTCTACAGACAGCACGAGGGCACGGCAAAAGGAAACCCACTGTCTACCTTCACAACTGATCTGTTCATGAGCAGATTGCTCATTTCAACAAAAGTGTTTGATAATTATAACCTTAACAAGATGTTGAGAAATGAAAATTCTTTGACATGGGGTCTACGACAAAAAAATGTTGATTAGACTATACAAGCCATTAAAATTTGTTTCAAGAAACACGCAGCACATCCGATTTTGGAGACCAGAAAAGTCGAGTGTACCTCAACATGTCTTTTGGAAACCGGCCAACTCTTGGATGCTTTCGGAAGTCTGCAAATAGCAAAGTGTAGCCTGAGAACAATGATCAGTGACAAAGATTCCAGCCCAAAGAGCTGAAAATTGACAGGAACACTTATCAGAAAATCTTCCACTAATGTATAACCTAAAAGTCATGAAGAAAATGAAGGTACCCTGATAGATATAAATAGGCGTGGCTAAAAGTTGGAACCAATCTACTTCGCCTTCTGAAGGTATCAATTCAGTGAAAAAAGTATTTCAATTCTATTGTTCCAAAGCGAGGCTTGTTTTGGAATTACTACAAGCTAGAGATTTCAGTTAAATTTTTCAGTGAAAAGCCCATTGTTCACTCTCTCATGAAGCACTTCCTTCAAATAACTTCTCAAAATAAATCTCTGCTTTCATTAGTGAACTTTCATTTGAATCAGAAATGGCAGAGGTAGCAACTCAAGGAGAAAATGAAAACATTGAATGATCTGGTTGAATCAATTCACCTTGAATGAAGGATTCAGGAACAGAATGAAATTGAAAAAAAAACGAAACGTCAATTAATGACTATAAGTTTATTGCAGTATATAATAATCGCCCCACTGATGGCCATTTGCATACATTTTTCAATGAACTACAAATGTACGAAGAGCTTTCTGAATTTCGATCTGATTCTGCCCACAAGATATGCGTTACTGAGAGGTTTCGCATTGGTGAGGGCGCTCAGTTGCAATAATAATCTCGTCTGGACAGTGTGTTTGATTGTACTTTTTGATGAGCGTTATATAGTTTCCATCCTCTTTCATCTTTCGAGATTTGGGGAGCAGTAGGTACTTGACGATATTCCTTTCATTGTGGGTTTTTTTTCTCAGAACTTTTGACTCGAATGTTAATAACTTAAATATTACGAAACTTTTAGGATATTTCAAATTGAAGAAAAAATGGGTTATTCTCACAATTTGGCATTGATGATTTATATTTGAGGATGTATAGCACGAATACTTTGAGAGTATATTCAGGGCTGATACAATTGAATTAAATTCATCAATATTTTTTTGACGTACCTACTTCAACGAACATTTTCCTCAGAAATTCTTGGAACTGAATAATTCAAGATTCATCAGTACCACAGAAATAATATGTGGAATACTACCACAGTCAGTAATTTGATGGATAGACTGTCTGAAAATGAATTTGAGTATACCTACTTGTGAAAAAAATGTATACCTAACGACATAATCGGAATAGTTGATGAAATAGGTACTGAAACACAGAATAGTGAACTCAACTTAAAACTGGGGAAAACTCTCTGCGAATCGCGACATGCTATAATGATATCATACTTCGGAAAAAAGGATACGATTTATTCGAAACCTATCGCCCCTTCAACCAGCTCATTAACCAGAAGATCCTTCTTTTTAATATTATTGATAGGTTTTCAAAAATAATAAACATAAAATTACTTATTTGAGTTGTTACCTAATATCAGTTGTATGAAATTTAACGAGCCGAACATCACCGATCTCATTCGGGAACTCCCGAATGAAGTTTCGGTTTCGGTCGTAGTTTCGGCAGGTTTGCCGCCGAAACCGAAACTAAATCGAAACCCGTTTTTTTGCCGAAACTTGACCGAAATCGAAACCGAACTTTTGGTCGGACACTACAAATGACTAATGAATGTGTTAACTTTTCTCCATACAATTCACCCAATCTGGGCCGTAGTGTATATCTTCGGTACAGTAAAAAAATTGACTGTTTTCATAACATTTTTTTCCACATATTTTTTATCGAAAAACAGCAAAAAACTCTAGAGTTTCCACCCAAACGTGATAGTATGTTTTTATTGAGACCTATCCTATGGAATGGAAGTAAGGGTAACGCATCCTTACCCTTCAATTCACACCACTGAAAACATAGATTTACCACAATGCAATCGCATTACACTTGGTTGCCTTGTTTTTAGGAATTTGAATTGCCAGACCTATAATGAGTACTTGACCAGTATTGGTACATTTTATTATTACAATGAAATGTGAAAAAAATTCTGGTCACACCACTAATCCAATAGAGGGGCTTTCAAACTTTGACAATTGATAACGGCCATCTTATTGAAGCTACATGTGTCAAATTAGTTTTCCTTCATTCAATTTGTTTTGGCAAATCACCATAGATGGATATATCATTTAACAACACGTGCATGTTTCATCAAAATGAGTGTTCTGTTCGAGCAACTTACCGCGCGCTTCGCCTATTTCACTGTCGTTATAATCGTCCTACCGAGAGAACTCTCCGCGATGTGGTAGATAAATTTGCGTCTATTGGTTCAGTAAACGATCGAACAACACTCGTACGTCGACGAAATGTAAGATCTGCAAGATCTGGCGGCGGCATCGGTCCATATTTCTTCGAGAACGACGTTGGTCAGGCCATCACTATAGGTTGATAATTACCAACTTCTTTTGACATGTGGTTTCAACAGGACAACGTTATGTGTCACACGAGCCATTTGAGGACATGTCCATCTCACAATGGAGTGATGTGAACTGGCCACCGAGTTCTTGCGATTTGACCCCGTTAGACTTTTTTTGTGGGGTTTTCTTAAGTAGCAGGTGTATGCGAATGAGCTACAATCCAGAGCCAACATAACCCATGCCATCGATCAAATTCAGCCTGATTGATGGTTTATTTATTTCACATGACCCATCGAAGTCAGTAGCGATGTTTTTCGGAACCGCGGTGGTAGTGCGCCCGACTCACGATCGGAAGACCGTGGGTTTGATTCCTGCCTCGACCAGATATTTTTCTCGAGTGAATTTATTTGGTTGAAGCTGGGATGATTCTGCAAACGTGTTAGGAATCACACGTTAAAAGG